ATAAGGGACATCAGAGGTAGAAGCTGCATGAATATGTAAACTCTGATTCTGGAAACTCTTCTCTGAATGTTTTCAGATGTAAGACTATGTGAACTACTGAGGTAGCAGTTAAATTTGAAACTAAGGGAAGGAAATGCTTTTATATCTTCTAACATTTCCCTAAGTGATAACAACTTAATTGCCAAGTATTTTTCCTTAGGTGTGTAGTCTAGTGCTTTAAAGACAGGGAAAACAAGTTTAAACTTCTGATTTGTGATAAATTCTTGCCTAGGAGCAAGACAGAAAAGAATAAAGATGTAGATTCACTCTGAAGTAAAACATTACTTGGATGGATTCCTTAACATGTTTCTGTTGTAGTGGATACCAAAAGCTTGTAGTACATAATGTTGCCTGAGTTTTGTAAAATAACTGTGTTTGACAAAGGTTCAATTCTTTGCTAATCCTTACAAATTTCAAAAATATGTTGATTTCCAGTTTGAATCTTCTACACTGTAGCTGCTCACAAATTTCACTATACATAAAAGTGACTATAAGCTTCTCATGACTTAGTGACATTCCAAAATTCAAATCTCAATATAAAGACTAAATTATACTAAACACTTTACTAGACTGCTAAAAGTCCAATTAGTGAAGAGCAGAAAACAATGTTTAATTATGTTTTCAAGTTAAATGGAGTTAATTGAATCAATCAAATGAAATCCTTGATTTCACACCAATGGCTATTGAAGATTTAAATGCCATTTATTAATTTCCTTCCTTTTACTTTTTTTTTGGGGGGGGGGCTGGGTTTTTTTGGTCCATGCTGAAATTAGCCTCCCCCTACCTCAGCCTCATGAGTGCTGGGATCACAGGTCTAGGCTGTCATTCCCACAATTTTGATGAAGTTTCTTCAAAAAAAATAGATGCACATATATTAATATTTATTTCATTTTAATATGAATACAAATATATGAAATACTTTGTTAAAATAATAAAATATGGTTCCTATTATGGTTGAACATCCTGGGGTTTATTTTTTATTTCTTTTATGGAAGTTACTAATAATATTCTTCAGGAATTCATTGATACTGAAATGTATATTAAAAAAATGATTGAACTTTATCCTAGAAGAGATGTATATTATGAGATATATAGAAACATCCATACATATACATACACATATGTGTGTGCTTGAGAGGATTATGTTTCAGCCATAAGGAAAGACTACAGTCATATTGTACAGACATTAGAGTCACTTTACACCTTTTACAAAACAAGAACAAAAACATATCATATAAAGCTTCTCTTCCAGAGAATTTGTCATAGAAATATGCAGTTATATAAATATAAAAGTAATTCTCCTTTTAAAGATAGTATCTGGAAGATATGTAGTCCAAACTGTCCAGAAATTCTGGCTCGTCCTGCCTTTGTCTCACAAGTGATGATTACAGGCATATGTTCCCACCCCAGCTGAAATGAATTCTAATACTCTGCAAGTGAGCGAAGCTACTTGGTTGTCACGGAATATTTTCCAGAATCCAAAATTTCAGAGATCAGACTCTGTAAAGTCCAGCTTCTGCACCTCAGAATTTTTCTCTTTGCAGCATCTCAGTTTCTGTAACATGCATACCACGTAGGCGATGCTGTCTGTCATGGCAAGGAGTGCCTTCTTGGAAAGGGTGACTATGCTGTGTTGAAACAAAGATGAAAATAAAGTTAAAAGTTCTCAGTAAGCTCAACTTAGACCCAAAGAAAATGAGTATTAGAGCAGTATTTCTATTGTTCCTTTTACCCAGTGTCTCCCAGGTTGTTTTCTGATACAAATACCAAACCTAAACTAGTAGTGTCAATCTACACAATGTGACTGCCCATTTCTGTACTTTATTATTGTACATATCTGTTCTTGGATCCATTCTTTCTAAGGTACAGAGAACAACTTGATTATCTTTTACAGCTGTAAGGCTAGACAGAACATTGCACTGTTTTCTTTACTACACACATTTAGCTTATTTGACGGGATTTACAAATATATTGTACAAGATGCCTGTGGCAAAAATCTTCCTATAATGACTAACCATGTTTGAGATGCCCACTTGCCTTACAATATCATCCACACACCTCAGTTCCTCTTTCACCTCTCCTGAAATTTTCATTCTTTAAATTCCTTGCTCCTTTGCCATCTCACTCCCTCCCTCCCTCCCTCCTTTTTTCCTTCTTTCCACTTACGTTATTTTTCTCAATTCTTTTTTGAGACCAGGTGTCCCTTTATATCTTCAGCTGTCCTGGAACGTGCTATGTAGAGCAGGCTGGACCCCATATCACAGATGTTCACCTGCCTCTGCCTGCAGAGTGTTGTGATTAAAGTCGTGTGTTACCATGGGACTTTTACTCTTGTCTTTTTTTTGTTGTTCTCTTTCTTTTCTTCCATTTTTTCACTTTGTCCAATTTTTGAGTCTAGCTAATCATTCCTGGCAGATAGACTCTTTTGTACCCATCTATTTATCTGTTTATTTATGTTCTTCCAGAATTTCACTCTCACAAATTCTAACTTAAACCTTGGCAGTTGTAGCTCACCTTGTGCTCATAATTTCTGCTGTTTATACAAAAATGCCCATTCGATTTTCTTTGCTGTCTGTGAACTGCCGGCGTCAAAATTACAGTCTAATCACAAGGTGAATGGTTTATAATGCTTCGTAATCAATATTCAAAATTTGCTCCTCTGGATGTGACAATAAAGGAGTCAAGAAAAAAACTGCAGATGTGCAGCAGTGAAGCACAAACAATCATTTTACGTTGATGGTTTTGAATTCAAGGTCGATTCACATTTTCTTACATTTGCATTAGTCTATTTCTTTCTCTGACCTTAAATTTATGTTGAGTTCATTCAGTGCTGGCTATTCAAACAGCTGAAATTGAAGTCTAGTCAATATTGGAATAGAAAACCATGTTGGCATGTTTCAAAAAGAATGTACTGGTTGGAAATGAATTTAAGACAAAATGCATGGCTCTAAATGATACAAAAGTATCAGCAAGTGAAACAGATTGTTCAGTTTTCTGTTGTCTTTTTGAATGATAAAATTAGTTGCTTGATTTCTAACACTTACTGACAAATACAGATAGAATCATATGGTGCCCATCTAGAGTAGGTAAAGAAATTGGCTGATAATGAACCTTTCGAGCATTTAAATTTAAATGTAGAAGAAAACTTCTTAGAAGGTGTTGTGTATCTAGCTTTTCCTAAGTGATTTATGTCTCTCTAACAGGTGTCTAGTCAGGAAATGTATGAATCTGTAGTTGTGTAATTCAGTTTTGAGACTACTTTTCAGGGTTCTTGCATTCATTGTATAATAAGTTTAAGAATGACTATTTCATCCATTCCAAGGAAAACATTTCTTTTAAAATGGCAAGGTAAGCCAGGTATAGTGGTTGCATTCCTTTAAACTCAGAGCTCATAGGCAGATGCAGGTGGATCTCTGTGAGATCCAGGCCAGCCTAGTCTATACAGTGAGTCTAACTAGGGCTATAGAAGACCTTGTCTCAAAACAACAACAACAACAACAACAACAACGAGGTAAGTTAAAATAAACATAAGCAACCTAAAAACATAAAAATTCACAAGTGTAAATGATATACTCCAAAATGCCAGAATGTTTTTGTCTTGTCAAGATGCCACTCTGATACTTTATTATATGTTTTACTTTGATGGAAAATTATTGTACTGCTCAAACTTCTTGCAGTGAAATAGGTTGTGGGCATGTTTTGTTGATGAGAAATTCTTTTGGGCTTTAAATATAAATGCAAATATTTCATGTGACTTTAAGAAGTAACTATACAAATGCTTTTAAACCTGCAATTTCCTATGTCAAATATATATTTTTTTGTAGACTTCTTTTTTCCTGCAGAGGATACCACACATTTGTAGGGATCAACTAGCATTAATTAAAAGACAATCCCTTGGGCTCCTAAATGTGTAGGGAATTCTATCCCCATCACATGGAGGTAAACTGTAAATATCCCCTTCTGGAAGTAAAAGCCTCTGATTTAAATGGATTACTAAAGTAGAGGAAAGGAACAACTTTGACGTAATTCAAAGATATGGTTGACAATTTGGGGGTCAACAGAAGTATGCAGCTGCCATCATAATGAAGGAATTTTGTTCCATGTTTCCTCATTCAGCATCTTTAAAATAGAAATCATTAAAAATGCTTTATATAGGTTCTCCATATGTCTATTGGCAAAGGCGAGAAGTACAAATTCTCACAGAAAGCATTATTATTTAAAGTAGGAAGTCATGAAGTGTCATTTTTTTGAACTCTACCTGTTGAGTAAATCCATTTTCACCTACTTACACCAAAAACAAAAGCTGAAGTGAAGAAAACTGATTACAAAATCCATACGCATGTATAATAAAACAGGAAAGTGCCCTTTTTGACAAACTTATTCATAATACATTCTGATAGAAAATTCCATTTGCCACTCTCAGTAGGGGAAAACTCAGCTTTGAAAGGAAGCCTTTTTATTTTATGACTGTCACCATAATAACGATTACAAATAAAATAAGTATAAGAAGTTTTGAAAGCAACTTAGGATTGTTAGGGAAATTTGTGATCCACTTTTTTTGCCCTTTTATTTGATTTAACAAAATGCATTCTGATCACCCTTTTTGAAATGCACTGTCTCCAGATCAGGTTAGTTACACAGAACAAAGTCTAACTGATATCCCTGGGCGATTAGGCAACAGTGATGCTGTATTCCAGTGAGAATTACTCTCCAGTGAACACTTTTACTTCTTCCCAGGCTATGGGAATTCATTAATATCTAGAGACCAGACTTAAATAAAACCATTGTCTCAACCAGCAGGTTTATGCAACCATCCTGAAATGTTTTAATTATTGTTTTCTTTTCCTTTTTAATTAAGAGACCAGAGGTCAAGCAAGCCCACTGAGATCTGATCACAGCCTCAGTAGAAATTGCAAGGAAACCCTAATGACTGGATTTTCTGTTTTCTCTTTGTTTTGCAGAACCAGAAGAGTGTGTTAATTGCACAGATGAATGCCGAGTGCTTGGTCATTCTGATAGGTGTTGGATGCCGCAGTTCCCTGCAGCCAATCAGGCTGAAAATGCAGATTACCGCACAAATCTCTTTGTACCCACAGTGGAAGCTAATGTTGAGACTGAGACTTATGAAACTGTGAATCCCACTGGGAAAAAGACTTTTTGTACATTTGGAAAAGACAAGAGAGAGCACACTATTCTCATTGCCAATGTGAAACCTTATTTAAAAGCCAAACGTGCCCTGAGCCCTCTCCTCCAAGAGGTCCCCTCAGCATCAAACAGCCCTACCAAGGCATGCATAGAGCCTTGCACCTCCACCAAAGGCTCCCTGGATGGCTGTGAAGCCAAATCAGGGGCCCTCGCTGAAGCAAGCAGTTCCTATCTGCCCACTGACAGTCAGTACCTGTCGCCCAGTAAGCAGCCGAGAGATCCTCCCTTCATGGCTACTGATCAGATGGCAAGGGTCTTCGCAGATGTGCACTCCAGAGCCAGCCGGGATTCCAGCGAGATGGGAGCTGTGCTGGAGCAGATTGACCACGCCGGCAGGGATCTGGGCAGAGAGTCGGTGGACGCAGAGGAAGTCGTGAGAGAGATTGATAAGCTCTTGCAGGACTGCCGGGGAAATGATCCCGTGGCTGTGAGAAAGTGAGGGGGAAAAGGCATTGGCGTTTTCTTGTCTCTTCTGTTGATTTCAAAATGATTACTCCTGGTGACAACCGATTTTACAGGGATGGAGAAGGACCAATGCTGCTTTAAGGCTTTTAGTGAACATCTGAAGTGCCCACAAGTATGTTCTTTTCACTGCTGTTTCTTTTACAGAAATAACAATGGTTTCGATCAAACTTATATTAGGACAGAATTAATGATGTTTAAGGAGAAAAACAGAAAAGAGAGAGAGAGAAGAAAATGGAGAGAAGAAAAAGGAGGATGAGGAGGCGAGTTACCTTTTGACAATCTGTTAGGAAGGTATGCAGTGTGAGAATTCAAGTATTTCTGATCACTCTAAGACTGTCCTCCGTGATTTATGCTGACTTAACTGTTTACCTATAAACCCCTTACAAAGCAGGGTCATATTTCTGATCTGTGGTGGATTTCTAGCAGACCTCACAGGCTTCTACAGAAAGTCCTAAAAAGACCTTGCAAGTCCAAGCTACGCCAAACATTAACACTCATTTGTGGTAAACATTTCTGTATAAAGTTACCTGCCATGCATATAAACACAAAAAGCATTCCATATCATTAGTCAGAAAGCAAAAACAAACAGAAAAAACAACAACAACAAAAAAAGCCTCTTGGTCATTTGTAAGACACCTCATGTCATATAAAAGTTAAATGTAAAAAGGTATAGTCCATTTTGTCCTGCACACATAGACCAATTCACTTCGTTGAAAAAGAAGAAAAATTGAAGACTTAAAAATGCCTATTTAGCATTTTAGTGTCCAATAAAGATATAAATAATGATGTGTTTGTTTTAAATTTAACATAGAACAGTTCTGAAATATAGTTACCATTGAATGGTAATTCATAGTGAAATTAAGATGATTAAAATGTTTTACTCATTTTTGGACACTAAAATAGCTCAGGAAAGTGAAAATGTCTTAGATATACACAAATCATGTGACCATTTAAATGTGCAGATGTAAGAAGATTCAATGTGTTTACATCAAATGACATATTTTTATTGATTTATTGCAAACTCCGTGCATATGAGCCAAATTGTTGAGTGTATAAGAGCTATATTGTGTATTTTATTAAATTAATATATAGTTGTGTTGCAAAAATATTTGGGCTTATATTGTAAATGGCAAGCGTTGCCTCGGTAGCTGTCGAACTCTATGAGTTTTGTTTTTCCTGCTTCCTTTTCCCCATGGACTGTGGGAAGCAGTGCCTCAGAGCAAAGTCTCTTGTTTAATGTATAGTCTACCAAGTACTACAGTACATAATCTGTTCAAAATGTGTTTGAGTGAGCCGATGGAGCTAACTGAAAGGTCAAAAAAAAATTTGTCAGTCATGGTTCTGTGCAAGTCCTTGTAGAAGCTTTGATTAAAGTCATGCTATATCACAAGAATTGCATTTGTACCAATACCTGAAACTTCTTCACGTTGTTTTCAAGAACATGAAGCGTCTGCCTATGTAGATATCATAACGTTGGTTGGTTCTCGAAAGTTTCTTCTGTGGTTCAGATGTGTTCCATCATATGACTAAAACATGGCAAATGCTTTAATGCATGTGTGGTACCAGCACTGGTTACTCGCATTGTGTAGTGTTTTTCAAGAGGTCTGGGTCTTAACAAAATCTGTTTCACTTTATCTCAGTGCTCTTTTGACTCTTTTTATTGGTGTCCTTTGATAACAGTACCCTTCTATTCCATCATTTGGTTGTACCTTGTCACATTTAACAACCCAACTTACTTATATATGAGGCTAAGATACCTCCAACTTCAGGAATTGAGAAAAAATAAAATTAGCACTCACAGAAGTAGTAGCAGATGGGGAAATGCCTTGATTGACATTTTCCTTTAGCATTTAAATTTTTTTTTTGGCATTTTGCAGCTTCATGGCAAACAGTTTTGAGACCATACCTTGGAAAATGTGGTGCTGAGTTAAATAAAGGCTGTTTGTGCACTGGAGCAGAAAAATGAATTATTTGCAAACTGGTAGAAAATTCTGTGCCTTCTTTTCTGGCCACCAAGCCAGTGTAGAAACAGCATAAATGTCATAAAAATCCTTATATTAAAAACAAAAGGAAAAGCAAAAACAAACATTCAACTAAATTTTTTTTTTGTAATTGAAAAAATTCTTATGAAAACATTTCCATCAAATGCTGTGAAAGTTTTAGACTGCCCCTCACTTGCAAAATTGCTTTGGGAGGAAAGTGTGGAAGACGCCCATCAGCCTTATTCTCTTGAGAAGTGTATTTTGGCACTTAGTAGTAACAGCCTTTCCAAAGTTCTACTCTTGCTTTTTCAATTCATACATGTTTAAACTAGAAAAGAAGGTATCTTGTACATGAGAAATTTAATTGACTCTCTATATTTTGGACACTTTATGTATCTAAAGTGTGTTGTCTCTTTTACATGATGTTATTTTTTTTTTGGCCAGGAGACTACAGATTGATTTAGAGTGATAGCTGAAAGTTGATGGAAAACTGTTCCCGTTTTAGTCTTATAAAGCTTTGCCTCTCTCACTATACAGATAGCTGCTTAGTGAAATCTGAAGCAGTGTGTAAATGAATTCACCATGGAGAGTAGGGTTTATTTTTAAAACATTCCTAATGCTAAGTAACCTGTTGTTAAATTCATTGTTAAGTGTCCCAAGATATTGAAACACCATGCCAGTCAGAATTGGTTGTGCCAACATGTGAGAGACTGGATGTAGGCTGTCACCAGTGATTTACTAGCATTAGCTGTTTAACTCATTATCTGTATTTAGTAGTGATTATTTATAAGTTGGTGGTAATTCAGTAGTCAGGACTCTAAGCTTTTATAGTTAAGGGAATCTCACTTATATTCATCTCCCTGGGACCAGCCTTTATCACAGACCTCTGGTGCTTGGCTTCCAAGGAAGTTTTTGAGATGCCAAAATCACACCTTCAGGGGACAATGGCTCTTATGGGTACTGCTTAATTAGCAAGCAGTGAAAGGGTTTCCATAATTTGGAATGCTTTAAAATGTCTTAATATTACATTATTCAATTACTAACCACTCAAAGTAAGTGCAAGCACACACACACACAAACACACACACATATACACACACAGACTATGAGAGAGAGAGAGAGAGAGAGAGAGAGAGAGACTGAAAATAATCATATTGCTTTGTTTTTGAAGTCTGTAGACCCAGTCAAACACAGGAAAGTCATATTTGTTGAAATTTTAGAAAGAACCTCGAAATTCTAAAAAAATATTTAATGGGGAACTAAAAGGAAGACATCAGTAATTAAATCTTTTCATCAGATGATAATGATGAACATGTTTTCATTAAAGTTAAAAGAAGTAAGAATCAGTGTTACAAATATACCAAAGTAAACATTAAAGAGGCATATCTTATATAACCTCATAGAATGCTTTCATGTTTTTTAACCTGACACACTTATCTTTATTGCAAGCAACACATAAGACCCCTGTTCCACGTATTAGTCGAATTACTGGGTAAGAAATTAACTGTTCCTTCCCTGACTTAGCAGAACTCTTGTAAAACATGACTTCCTTTTAAAGGATCTAGACAAAGTCACTGTTCAAAAAAAAGCACCATAAAACAGTCATTTAGTAATAAGCAATATGCTTTATTAAAACCAGGTTAAAAGCTGTTTGTTGCCTAATAGAGTACATGTTGCTAAGGTCAACAAATAGACTGAAGCCTGGCATAATACATGCCCACTCATTATTGTCTAATTATATTCTTTTGACAAGAGACAACATTTATCAGAGCATTAATTCCATGAGAGTTTTAGATACCAAGATGTGTTGATTGGAAACATAATTGAATGAGAACTGATAAAGTTTGACTCTCCTGGCCCCAGTGTTTTGCAAGATAGCTATGCCCATTTATCTGCTCCATCACTTCATAAGGTTCTTTGCGTCACCAAGTGATTGGTGAACAAGGAAAACAACAACAAAAGCAGTGTACATTGTATGAATTTATCTCAACACTATTGTTTAATGGCTGTGTTTCATGTGATCTGTCTGGAAAATGAGGACTCCGAATAAAAAGCTATTACTAATACTGGTGTCGCCTTCCCTTTGAATTCATTAACACAGAAGTGATGGGTTACACAGTACTTACCACAAGGACCCTAATCATAATTATTTTGGAAAAGCAAACAGCATCACAACTGTCTTGGCTAATTATCAGCTTGCTAGTAAAATGAAAGATTTTTTTAAAAAATTACTTAACAATATTGTCTGTCATTAGTATCTAAACAGAAGGGCATTAAAAATCGTTCTGATATCTTGTTTTAGGAAGATCAGCTCTTCTTCGTCTAGCAGCAATCAGTTGCCAACATTCCTTCAGATAAGATTGAGGTCTGCTGTTCATTTTCCCAGTCCGATACCTTTGATAAATGGGCTAATCGTATAATTATCATGAAGCCACAGTCTACAGATTCTTACGCCTTTTATTATTTGCATTTGGTGTAATAATTTGATAGAAGATCCCTAAAGACTTCAGAGAAGTCACTTTTTAGACCTCCTCATAATCTTACATGAGTAAGCACGTATTCATAAATGGCATTTCAAGTAAATGTATTCATATCAATGCATTTTCATAACAGTAAGTATCTCTCATCATTTCTTACCATGTGCTTGCCTGTGTAGCTAATATGCCCCAAGAGTAAACTGTCAAGAAGGAGTGATGTCCTGGTTGCCAGGTGGTAAAAGCAATGGGGTAAGTTGTAATACATGTTAATCTTTAGAAAGTACATTTGACTATTTGTATTTTTCCTTAGTTAATCTAGACATCCTTTATTTTTGCTATGACATATTTTAAGTTTCTCACCAACATAATATTTTGTAAGTTTAGGCACTTTTATTTTACTTTTTATCACATTATCAATAAGTAGGAATTGCATTAATCTTTATTGACTAGATTTGCTACTACAGACTAAATAATTTTACCTGTCCACTCTTTGGTTCAATAATATGATGAGCATTTTGTTTCAGTGACCATTAGCTAGGAGTCTATGAAGTATTCTAAGTCACAGAGAAACACTGAGGCAATTACTTTTTGCTCCAGGAATACTTACAGTATGTGCCTTAGTGATAACTACTAATGTAGGAATTGACATGCTTTTTACTGTGAATAGTAAATACCATTAGCCTATTTTGCTGTTCACTGCTTTAAAGTATGAGAGTACATCACAGCACTGTTAATTCAAACACTTGAATCAAGTGACCAGGGTTGAGGGAGCAGAGACTCCTTCAGGTGAAGAGTCCTTTCTGGCTATGACACAATTAGGAGGAAATCATGAACAGAACATACTTGAGAGTACATGTCATTGACCTATCAGCATCTAAAAAAAAAAAAAAAAAAACAATCCCCCCACAACCCCCTGTGTTTTAAAGTAGATATGAAACAAAAATGCAATTACATGACAATTCTTGGTAAAATATTAAGAAAATATTATGAAAGCCCCTTGTAGTGCCAATATAGCAAATGGAAATAGAGCAGGAAGAGGCTGGAGAGATGGCTCAGTGGTTAAGAGCACTGACTGCTGTTGCTGAGGACCCAGGGTTTGGTTATCAGAACCACGTGGAGGCTAACAACCTTCTATAACAACAATTCCAGGGCATATGTTGTCCCCTTCTGGCCTCTGTGGGCATCACATCCCTAGATGCAATTAACTTTAATGAAGAAATTGCACTAATACTCATAAAAATAAATAAATCAATCCCTCAAGGAAAGAAAAAAAATAGGGCACCCAGTGAACAGATTGTTTTCAAATTCTCCATTATTGAATTTTGTAGATGGTGGCACAAAATTCTGGATCACTCAGCCTGGCTCATCACTCAGCAGCTCAAAAGATATATTGCAATTTTTTTTTTGTCTTAAGAGGGGACATTTTATTATGAGAGGAATAATGTTTTATTTATTCCATTCACCTTTGCATAGATACGTTAAATTTTTAGAGCTCAGTACTTAACATTTATATTATGACTTAAACTCAAAGCTGTTTTCTACTTTTTTGATTTTATGTGTATAAATATCTTGGTTGCATGTGTGTAAGTTCACTTGTGTTGTGCATTCCTGCAGAGGCCAGAAGAGAATGTCAGATACCTTGGAATTGGAGCTACAGATGATTTTTGTGTTGGAAACTGAACTTGGGTTTTCTCCAAGAGCAGCCAGTGTTTTAAATACTGAACTATCTTTCCAGCCACTAAAATTATAGCTTCTTAAAGTTACATAACTTGGTAAAAAAATTTAACACTTCTTAAAATGTGAAATACAAATGTTGAACCATTTTTTCTGACCTTATGTAGATTGGCATACTTTAAGAAATTGACATTCAGAGAATTTATATGAAAAGTATGATTGCTTCTCTTAGGGTTTAGGGTTTCATTCTGGCCAACAAACACAATAATTAAACCAAACTTAATTGATGCTAATAAATTCTGGTTCTAAAGGGTTTTCTGACTTACAAAGTATTATGTAAGCAGGTACTCTGAAGCTCAAAGCTATATGGAAATCTGATATTCACTTGAATCAAATATCTATTTTGGCTGTTCATTCTAGATTTTCTGTGTTTTATAATCTTGTCATATTTGATATCTTCTCTAGAATGATTCATTTATCATTTAAAACTATTTTTTGTATTATTCATAAGTTCCTTACTATGTTAATCATTTGTAATTTTATAATAAATAATTCAAAAAGCAGAAAAATGCTTGCAAACTCCAAGAAAATAAAAAAAAAAGATATTGTAAGAATTCTAGGAATCATGGGCTGAGAGATGGCTCAGCAAGTAAGTACACTGACTGCTCTGGGAGTCAGAGAACCAGGTTTGATTTCCAGCACCCACATGACTGCTAAAAACCATCCTAACTCCAGTTCTAGGGGATCCAACACCCTCTTCTCACCTCCATGGGCATTGCATGACACAGGTACACTTATATACATGCAGGCAGCACACTCACACATAAATTAAAATAATAAATAAAATAAATTGAAAAGAATTCTAGGAGTCGTGTTGGTCTTAAGTGTGTATAGGAGTGCATGTATGTCACCTCAGTACTCAGGAGGCTGAGAGAGTAGGCCAATAATTTCCATGTGATCCTGATAGAATTGTGTGTGTGTGTGTGTGTGTGTGTGTGTGCATGCGTGCACTCATGCATTGGAGGAAAGTTGAATTGTGTGTGTGTTTTAAAATTTCTATCTATATTCACTGTCATTTATCTACAAAAGTGTTCCACAACTTTGTTATTGTTATCTCAACCCCCAAATCAGTTTTCTCATAATTTGGTTCACACTCACTAGGAAGCGACCATGCAGAATTTTATTTAATTTAAATAAATCACAAAAGTTTGCATATGATTAATTAATGAGATAATTAATTGAATTCTTGGAAATTATATCAGCTCTAGTAACGTTAAAATTACTTCAATATTGCATCCATACTTTGAAATAATATAATCACATATAAATAAAAAAGACTCTAATAATTTCAAAAGAGACTATTAGAAAATAAAAAAAGAAGGGCAATTCAAGCAATTCTGATGTGGCTAAAAGATGAATACACATTTAAACATTTTTTCTTTCCCCTTTCATATCGGATAAATGTTTTACTGTGGGTTTCATCAGAGAGCAGATGGAGAGGCTACAATTGCTATCAGTGTGATTTTCAGGGTAGCTAATCAAAAGTGAAATTGGTCTGATTCTGACTGACTTTAGCTTGCTAAATTTTACTTTAATATATACCACACAACTCACAGAAACAAATCTTATTCTCAAGAGGACCAATAATGTTACTCTCTTTAATATTGATTTATTAATTTATAGTTTTGAAATTTAAATTAAAATGGGTGAGAGGTGCTATTCATTAGTTCATTATTAAGTTAACTCAGTGCTAATTTGCCAATAATTCTTAAATAATATTTTGACACTATTTTTCCTCACCCTTACATTTTTAGGACTATTAAATATAATAATTTACACTGAGTTGGTTTTTTGATTTTGGTCCTTTCCTTTGAAAATCTGATTGCTACTAATAACTTTTGTGATAAATGAACACACTCTGATGTTTATTTAATCTCTCCTAGGGGATTCTTATATTCATCTACATTCCATAACTTTTTCTCAACATGACTTGAATACTGTTATCTTTCTCATCTATTTATTAAAATAACTCTTATCTGTTCATATAATGCAAATTACTTATGGAGCTAGTGAAGACTTACCTCATAATTACATTATGCAGAATATAGTCAATCCATTTTTCTAAGCCTATAGAAAAACTAGCAAACATTTTTAGACTTTTACATGA